CTCTCTCTCTCTCTCTCTCTCTCTCTCTCTCATCTCTCTCTCTCTCTCTTCTCTCTCTCTCTCTCTCTCTTCTCTCTCTCTCTCTCTCTCTCTCTCTCTCTCTCTCTCTCTCTCTCTCTCTCTCTCTCTCTCACTCCTCTCTCTCTTCCCTCTCTCTCTCTCTCTCTGCTCTCTCTCTCTCTCTCTCTCTCTCTCTCTCTCTCTCTCTCTCTCTCTCTCTCTCATTCTCTCTCTCTCTCTCTCTCTCTCTCTCTCTCTCTCTCTCTCTCTCTCTCTCTCTTCTCTCTTCTCTCTCTCTCTCTTGGTCTCTCTCTCTCTCTCTCTCTCTCTCTCTCTTCCCTCTCTCTCTCTCTCTCTCTCTCGTCTCTCTCTCTCTCTCTCATCTCTCAATCTCTCTCTCTCTTCTTTCCCCTCCCCCTCCTCTCCCTCTCTCTATCTCTCTATTCTTTTTCCTCTCTCCCTCCTCCATTCTCTCTCCCTCTCTTTTAATCGGAACTAGAAAACAGCAAAAAACAAATCCAATGCATAACAACTCAAGAGAGAAAAGAGATAAAGAAAATATATGGAACATAAAATAATGAATATGTTTGTCATACTGTTTTACTCCTGTTATAAGGTAACAATAATATGATAATACTGGTAACAGTAAATAATTAATAATGATAATGATATAATGATTAATAATGATAACAATAATAACAATAATAATCAATAAACAATTACTAGTAATAATGTATATATAATAATGATGATGATGATAATAATGATAATAATAATATCGATGAAAAATAGTAATAACCATATCGATAATGATGATAACCCTACTATTACTGACACTGCTACTAATATTGATGATAATGATGATGATGACAACAACAAACATAATCATAATAATAATAATAAAATAATAAATAAACACAACAATAAACAGTGATAACAATAACAATAATGCAGATACTGAAAAATGATAACAGATTGATAATAAAAAAAAAAGAAAATTGAAAGCCTTGTCTCTACCCTCAGGGACCTACTGAAGAAACTTACTTGTTGATGCCGTCAAAATCCGCCCCGATGCCCACGTGGTCGATCCCCGCGATTTCCCGTATGTGGTTGATGTGTTCTGGAACAAAGCGAAACACATAAATAATGAAGCATTTATCATTTTTTTCTCTTGTTTAGATATGAACGTTGTGAATTGCCTTTCTATGTCTGTCTGTTTTATCAGATTTTGTGTGTTATTATATTTATACAGATACATATAACTGTATGCGTATAACGGTAGTTTTGTAATGCGTATATATATATATAATATATATATATATATAAGTATATAGATAGATTATATATATATAGTATATAATATATAAATGAATATGATATATATTATCAGCAAGTATATATATATACTAGTAAGAAATATATAGTATATATATAGTATATAAGATATAATAGTATATAGTATATAATAATATATAGATATATAATATAAGTATTAATATATATAACAATATAATCTAGTTGTGGCATTGGTGGGTTTTTCTACACATATATAGTATATATAATATATAGTATATAGAGTAGTATAATATATATAATATATATATAAATAATAGTATAATAGTAGATAATATATAAACTATTTATACATATAGTATAGTATCGGATATATATATAAATATATATAGTATAATTATTTAATTTATGTATATATAGCGATACATATAATAGACTACGTAAAATGATAAGGTACATAGTAAATAGAATATTATATAATAATAGATAATATGATAATGTAATAAATATAATATAGGTAGTGATAAGTATAGTACAATAAATCATAAAGAAGAATAAATACTAAGTCGTATATTATATAATTAGTATATAATAATATATATATCTACATACCTATATATCAACACATCTACATACTAGTATGATATAATAATAAACCAACATCTGTTATCTGTATGTATATAATAAATAATAGCCGTATAATAACTAATATATCTAATACATATATATAAAAATATATAAGTAAAATCTAATATATTATATCAATAATATAATAGATATATATAATAAGACTGTATATCAATAATAAAAAAACCACATCTGTACACAGTAGAAATAATATATATATATATTATATGTATATATATATATTAGCATTTATATCAACAATACTTAATATATATAGATACTCTATGTATAGATTATATAGGGCACACATGTGTGGTGTGTGTGTGTGTGTTGTGTGTGATGTGTGTGTCGTGTGTGTGTGTGTGTGTGTGTGTGTGTGGTGGTGATGTGTTGTGTATGGTGATATAGAGGTTCGGGCTTTTTGCTTCTTTGCTCGTCAGCCTGTCGTGTCGTCGTGTATACGTTATAGTGTCGCTATGTGTGTGTCGATAAGTTGTGTGTTGTATCATAATATAATCATATATAGGTATTAAGTAGTATATATTATATATATAGACAGAAGTCATATATATAGTTACTA